TATTCTATTCTATTCTATTCTATTCTATTCTATTCTATTCTATTCTACTCTACTCTACTCTACTCTACTCTACTCTACTCTACTCTACTCTACTCTATTCTATTCTATTCTATTCTATTCTATTCTATTCCATTCCATTCCAATCTAATCTAATCTAATCTAATCTATTTAGTCTAGATGACAAAGATTGTCTAGTCTTCTCTGGAATTGTGATTTCTATCCAATGGAGAGAACAAATGTCAAAATTCCTTTTTACCATACAGGTCCTGTATGAAGAGGAAAGGATTAAAATATATTTTAAGAATATGGGCATGGAGCAATCTTGCTTACCATGTAATTTGTGTAAATTGGTTTAACAATCCATGACTTTGCAGGTACTTCTGACTCACTTTCAAGTCATAGATTTTCATAATAAAAACAAAACCAGGAATTTCATGTGATGGATTCTTTGATAAATAAACAAGAGAACTACATATGGAAGGTCAACTACCTTTTATTTATTTATCATGGATCCCTTGAGTAACATGTTTTTTTTAAAATATGCTGCGAGCATCATACATTCTTTTAGCCTGATTTTTCCATTAAATATACATGAACATATCATTATTTAAGTTGTCCTATTATAAATTGAATGGGTGGTACTGACTCAAATAGAAAATCTGTGATTTGGATTAAAGGTATTTGGTTTTGGAAAATTCAGTGTCTGAGTGAAAAACGTTACACCGTACTGGTAGTAACACCGGTTAAATCCCACCCCTGTCCAAAACCACTCATGTCCAAAGTAAGAGGGCAGTTTGGGACATGTAAATTTATTTATTTAATTATGCACTTCTTAGGCTTTTGTAATGTTGCTGACAATATTTTTGAAAGAATATAGGAACCGATCTATATAAAAATGCATAAATTAGTTAAAAGAATGCTCACATTAGAGGAAATTGTTTGCAAAATATATTAGTATAAAGTAAGGGAGAACAAAATGCATATTAAGGGAAATAGGCATAGGTTTATGGACAATTGTTTTCTATGAATATTTTAAAATCTCAAAGAAATTTGGAAGTGGAATGGATCAACCTTAAGGTCAAAGGCTTCCCTTAGCAGAATAATAGAATAACAACAGAATAATAGAACAACAAGACAACAGAAGGTTGGAAGGGACCTTGGAGGTCTTCCAGTCCACCCTGCTCAAGCAAGAGACCGTATACCATTTCAGACAAATGGCTGCCCAATCTCTTCTTTTAAAACTTAACTTAAAAACTTAAGCATAGTTGGCAGTAGATGTCCTCTGTTGGGAACTGAGGCATTTTCCACAGTCTGTTTGGTTTAAATACTTTAAACAGCACTTCCATCCTTCTGAACATTTTTCATCTTGTTTTCTCTGATTCACTGATCTCTGATGAAATGATCTCTGATTATTTCCTTGATGATGCCACTATTAAATTTCAACATATAAGGATGTCAGTTGTTCCTTGACTTAGATAAGGAGGAGCAGTAGTGGTGAATGTCATCATTCCACTCCAAAATCTGATTTATTTCTTGCTGTAATTTCATATAGATGGTGACCCATGCAAGATAATTTAGTACCCTGTCAGACAAGAGAGCTGAAATGTAGTTATGTAGTTTCCTCATCACCTAATCAAGGAGAGATGAGCAACCTGAAATTAATTAGAAGCTTCCTAACAGTGAGGACCACGGGTGGGATTCTACAGGTACACACCTATTCTCTAGAACCGGTTGTTAACATTCCAAGCAGTTCAGAGAACCAGCTGTTAGAAGAAATTACTGGCCTAATCCTGCAAGTAAGGCAGGTAGGAAACATTCTGGTGTTGCTCCCAGAAACTGTCTCTCCATTAACTATTATTACATTCTTGGCAGGATTAGACTTCCTATCTCAGGAACTTCTCTGGAGTTTTTTTTCCCTCCTTTGCTGGTACTTTGCTTGTGTGGAGTGACCATTCAAAGTTACAATGGCACTGAAAAAAGTGACTTATGACCATTTTTCACACTTACGACTGTTGAAGCATCCCCACAGTGATGAGAAGCCAGGTGAGGAGATGCATGCCTCAATGTGAGTGATATTGAGTTGGGCACGCCCAGCCACATTCACCCGGTCACATGACCACCAAACCACACCCACCAATTAAGCCACACCCACAGAACCGGTTGTTAAAATTTTTTGAATCCCACCCCTGGTGAGGACAATTAACCAATGGAACAGCTTGCCTTCAGAAGTTGTGGGTCCTTCATCACTGGAGCTATTTAAGAAAAGACTGGACAGCGACCTATCTGAAATGGTATAGGGTCTCCTGTTTGAGCAGGGGGTTAGACTGGAAGACCTCCAAGGTCCCTTCCAGTTTTCCTCTGATTGATTGATTGTGTTAACTGGACAGTGGACATGGCCTTAAAGGAAGGGCCCGAACTATTGCTAAAAGATGGCTTTATTTGCCAATGTCAGGGTCAATGAAAAATATCTAGCTGGGTTGTACTATTTCCTAGCCAGTCTCTAGATTGGATATAAATCAGGAGTGTCAAACTTGCAGCCCACGGGCCAGATGCATCTTGCACTGGCCATGCCCACCCCCATTTTAGCAAAGGGGGGAAGTTGCAATACATCACATGACAACATGACGATGCGCATTTGACACCCCTGATATAAATCAACGTGCTACTAAAATAGTTATTATACCGTATCTTAGCTGAAACCTGAACTGAAATGGATTCAGATATTCAAAATCATCCAGATATCTCTCAAATTGCAAGATTACTGTTTTACTAACCACTTTTTCCAGAAACAAAATGTAATCTGCCTACAAAACAGATTTCCTAGATCAAGGGATGCTGCATATAGGATGGAATGCATCTTACCTACAAAGAGACATTCTTCACTTCCCTTAAGTGCTATTCCAGCTGATCCAATCATCTATGAAGGCTGAGGATCCAATAAGCAGTCAATAGTCTCCATACTATCCCACAATTTTATAAAGTGAAAATAATTCAAAACAACAGAACAAGCCCTCATTGAGATTATAGAATCCAAATTAAAGCAGGCTTTTTCTTCAAAAAGCTGTGCAATTTGCTCATAGCAAGCCATCAGCTGCTCCAGTTCCTGTTCATGTGGATATGCCACATTCTTGCAATCCTATATTCCCTAGGTAACTCCCATTAAATGTCTTGAGCATTCTTTCTGCATAAACACACTGGATTGTTTGGGGTTTTTTTGGTCCAAGGAACCAAAGATATACAACTGTCTGTAAGCTTCACGGTCTTCTGTTGTTTGTATGTTGTTGTTGTTGTTGCTTTAAAAAAAAGGTCCTACAAATCCGGCAGGCACTATTAATGGTGGAAAGCATGCTTGTAACAGAGCAGACTAGAATTGCCCCGGAGGCCAGGAAGAAAAATAAATAGCTGACTAAAGCTACTGAGTGTCCAAAGCTCCACCCAATCCATGTAGCTGTACCTAATGTTTACCCACTCTGAATATTGCTCAAGGCAAAGCAAGGTACCTGTTGGAAGAGACTTTTAAACACTGCAGCACCTGTGGCTGAACAGCTCCAGAAGGGATCAACAGCACAACAGAGCCAGACTTCATTCTGCAAACACAGGCAAGGTACAATTTGTTTGTATGTTATGTATGTATATTATTTAATGTTAAAATATCTACCAGTGTTTAAATAGCATTTATTAGCGTCCTGGCCAGTTTATCAAAGAAGTATGTTTTAACGTTACTTTTAAGCTCACTACCAAAACATAAAAACTACACACTGCAAATCAGTTGATTGGTTGGTTGGTTGGCTTGTTTTCCTTCTTTCTTCTCCTTTCCTTTTTTCTTCTGCCTTGTGCAATGGAGGAAGAGTGCTTCTCAGAGATTTTGGCAGCTTTTTACACTGCAGGGTCTTCAAGACTTGGCCATAGGGCTAGCATAACTACTAGTCCTTATCACCCAAAGTTTACAACATGGAGCCAATTCATGGAGGCTGAAGAAATTAGACTGCGTAGTGCACTGAGCTGGGAAAAAAATCAGGGTTCCTCTAGCCAGCTTCCTGTTTACAATCCTCTCTGGGAAGCAGCAGATGAAATTCAGAACTGGGGAGAACCCAGTTCCCATCCCTGCTTTCCAAGAAGAAGACCATTCTGGCAAACAAAGTAATGAGACGTTTTATGAGAACAAAATGAACTGTTAGACTAGGCTGCTTTGGAGCCCATAGGAAGTGGATGGATAATATTTAAAAGTAATTTGTTTACTTATTTTTAGTTAGTTTAGTTTGTCAAGCATGAAACAAGTATAAGTATGAGCATAACATACAAACATGTAAGTGTAAACTGGTATAAGTATATACATAATAAATGAGTAGGAATAAATGGGAACAGTAGGACAGGGACGGTAGGCATGCTGGTGTGCTTATGCACACACCCTTACAGACCTCTTAGGAATTGAGTGAGGTCCACAGTAAACAGTTTAAGGTTAAAGATTTGGGGGTTTGAGGATGTAACAACAGAGTCAGGCAGTGAGTTCCAGGCATTGACCACTTTGTTGCTGAAGTCCTATTTTCTGCAATCGAGTTTGGAATGGTTTACTTTGAGTTTCTATCTATTGTTTGTTGTAGGGTGGGTTTTTTTTTAGAGTTTTGTTTTCTTACAGGTGAACTGAACAACAGGCGATAACCAGTATGTTTTGCCATTTTTTGAAAGCCAGTTTGATGTAGCGGTTAAGACACTGGGCTAGAAACCAGGGAACTGTGAGTTCTAGTTCCGCCTTAAGCATGAAGACAGCTAAGGTGACCATGGGCCAGTCCCTCTCTCTCAGGCCTAAGAACAAAGGAAGGGGGAAAGTGTGAGAAAATATTGTCAGGAAAAGTGTAGGAACTAATCCAGGCAGTCAGCAAGAGTCAACACTGACTGGAAGGTGCACACACATACATATAAGCCCTTGTCATTTCAAGCTTTAAAGAACAGCAGAAAAACTCAGATCAGAAGAAGCCTGTTCCTTTCTCCTTACTTCTGAAGGTGTTGCCCTAGTGACAGAGAGGCCTCTTGGTCACTATCTCCATTTTCCTTTAAAGCTGCTCACAAATAACAGGTTATGTTTATCTTTGAGTTATACTTCAAAACTCAAATTTCTCATCTTTTAATAAGCCAGCCTATAATGCATGAGTTTTCTACCTAGTTACAACTTATTATTTTTACTACTAATAAAAATATTTGATCCTTGCTAAATTTGGGTGTGTTAAAAAGCTCTGAGTAAAAGTGACATGACTTATAATAATATGGTAGTAGAGGGGATAAGGGGTAGCTGTGCTGTTTCCATGTAATTTCTAGCAACACTTTAGCTCAGGGGTGTTCAACCTTGACAACTTTAAGACGTATGGACTTTTACAGAATTCCCTAACCAGCATGGCTGGCTGAGGTATTCTGGGAATTGAAGTCCACAACTGTTAAAATAGCCAAAATTGGATATCCTACTTTTGCTAATATAAAGTGCTATCTTCCTTCTTTTTGTTGTTGTAGAGGTGTTAGTTGTTAGCTTGTGTAAACAGTGATGGTTCCTTTAAGACATGCTGAACTCCTGGATATGTTAATGCTGTTTTGGGGGGCAGCAATATAGAGCTTGATTACACACACACACACACACACACACACACACACACGAGTTTTGGTTGTATTGATTTCTCAGTCCAGCCTACAACTTGGAGATTTTCTGATGAAGTGCCATCCATACCAAAGATTTCTGACTCCAGAAAAGAGAAGTCAGAAGACATCCTGGAAGAACCAATGATAAATCTGTTCTATCTGCAACCAAAAAAAATACATTGATGTGTCTGTGAAATCACCTGAAGTTGACTTTAACATGAGAGAAACCTGTCTTTTTTTATAGAAAACATAAAAGGGAAAATGGTTATGGAGGAATTCAATGCTCAGAAGTACAAACCACAAACCATTTCAGAAAGAAAGGGAGACAAAAATGTTTGGTTTTTGCAGCCTTCAGGATTCAATAATTTTGCAAGAGTCCACTAATAATGTCTGTTAGGTCTGGTGGAGGGGTGGGATTCTACCAGTTCGGACCAGTTCAAGAGAATGGTAATTCTGGTGATCATTTGGCCCTGCCCTTTTCCTCTGCTTTATTTCCTTGAATACAGCTGATTTGTGTGGCAGAGCAGTTTGCTGCACCTCAGTTGTTTTATTCACTGGGGCTGCAGCAGAAGGCAAGTATTATAGCTAAAAATTGTCTTTTCTAAATGTTGGGTGCACATGAGAGGTGAACCGGTTGTTAAACTGGTTGAATCACACCACTGGTCTGGTGAGATATGCCAACAAGCAAGCGGTGGCTTTAATTTTCCACACTGCTCTGGGGCAATGTTTTTGGATGACTCCTTTCGTGTGTGTGTGTGTGTGTGTGTGTGTGTGTGTGTGTGTGTGTGTGTGTACATATACACATACATACATACATACATACATACATACATACATACTCAATTATTTAGGAGGGATCACTTTTATCTGAGGAGTAGACAGATGGAGAAGGGGTGTTTTATTCCAACCATTTGCTATGCCAGCTTTCTGCAAATCCAGATTTCTCGTCCTGAAGTCTCAGGTATCTGTAGGGCAGTCATTTGTGCATTAATCTTGTGAGGTGCATAAAAAGTTGGAGGCTTGTCCCTGAGGCTAAGAGAGAGAGGTTATAAGGTCTTGAAATGCAGAGTATGCTATGCTGTAAACTTGTTTGAATTGTTCTTGGGTGGTTCTTATTTACTCTCCAAATGACTAATACCCAGCCCTTCCTTTTGCTGCCTATTTTGACAAAGCAGACTAATGACTTCATGTGAATGGGGATAGATTCAAAGACATTGCCTTCTCAATAGCTGGTCTCCACTGTCACTCTCATGCTTTCCCTTAGATTGCCAAGGTTAGAGCATATGACATTAAAAGCTGTTGCCAGTCTTCTTGCTTGTTCTGTGAGTATGCCAATGGCATCCGCTTAGAAACTATTTAGTTGGCTGTATAACCGGATATTTACTTAGCAGGCAATCACACCCAACATATTTTTCCCCTTCTTGCTCTTTGTCATAGCTAAACTTGGACAGGCATCAATGATTTCTAGTTCCAGACTTATGTTCCGGCCCTTATGGCTCGAATTTAGTGACATCTTACTCCTTAAAATACAAAGAATAAAGAGATACCATAAGGACTAACAGATTTATTGTGGCATAAATTAATGAAGCTGCTGTAGCCTGAAGAAACCAAAGCCATCACAAATATGTTAGGTTTCATAGTACCAAATTTCCTTTGAGATTTCTGTGGCAATACTTCCCAGTCTGAGTTATTATGTCTATGGAGTCCCTTTCAATGTTTTTTTTATTGTTATGGTTTTTTAATCCAGTTCACTACATATTGTTTCACGTTCTTAAGTGTTTTAACTATATATTTCGACATTGCAAGCCAGCCAGCATTTTTGGAATGGGCAGTCATGTTAAATTTAAATAGATTGCATTAGTTTGCCAGATTGCCACATTTCTACAACCCAACTCCCCGTGTGTAGAAGCCATCCTGAAGTTCTCTTTGCTTCATTTGACATTAACGTATTGCAGGAAAGCACAAAGAATAAGGTGTATCACAAAGAAATAAGGGGTGCCAAAGAGGATTGTCAAAACAGTTAAGATGATTGTGATTGTACAATGAAAACTCCCATCTTGACTTTTTAAACATTTACTGATTGATTGATTGATTGATTGATTTGCTCATTTCATTCTGAAATGGGACTCTGGGTGATTTCTTATTCCATAGCCACACCTGCAAAGAAATGTGATTCTATCAAACCTGCCTCAAACTAGTCCAGAACTCAAAAATCCCAAATCCCTTCACTCCCATGTCTTATAAAACAGGCAAGAAATAAATAGCCATTTTCTTTCTTAATATTGAGATATCCAGGCAGTAAAATTAAGATGCCTTCCCCCAGTCTGTAGAGCAAATTTACAGCATCATAATTTTCCCCATAGCTGACCTCTCTTTTGGTACAGTGATGAGTGGGGTTGTCCTAACAATTTACTGAAAGTTAAGTGAAAGTACTGTGATAGATATCTTTCCTTGCATTCATGAGCCATTGTCCTCATCTTGGAGTGGACACAAGGGAGAAACTGGAAAGGAGGTGAATCTGGAAAGATGGACAGCTTGGTGGCTTTCATCCTCTGTCAAGATCTGATTGCAAATTAAGTGAATCCAACTTCCTACATTGACTTTTGCATGTCAACAAGTGCCTGGGAAGGTTGCAAATTGCAATAGCACTTAGATTCACAGTGCTTTATAGCCCTCTAAGCTTCACAGTGCTTTACAGCTCTCTCTTAGCAATTTACAGTGTCAGCATATTGCCCCCAATAATCTGGATTCTCATTTTACCGACCTCAGATGGTCAACCGTGGACCACTGAGACTTGAATTGCCAAATTGCTGGCGGACAACAGTCAGCAGAAGTAGCCTGTAAAACTGCATTCTAACCACTGTTGTCAAGGTCATGACTGACAGATCCAATCAAGCAAGCAGACTTGAAATCTATCTCTTTTCACTAAGCTTTACTGAGTACATGAGGGGTGTCAAACTCAATTTCATTGAGGGCTGCATCAGGGCTGTGGTTGACCTTGGGGGAGGGATGTGAGTGTGGCTGACTGGGTGGGCATGGTTAAGTAAGTGGGTGTGGCCAACTGGGTGGGCATGGCCAGCTTGATGCCATTCCCAAACTGCTGGCATGTTTCCTCTTCGGATTGGGTAGACCGGACCAAAGCAACACTGGCCCTATGTTTCCTCTTGTATTGGGTAGACCAGGCTAAAGTGATGCAGGTAGACCAGGCTGAAACAATGTGAGCCAGCCCGCTACATTTTCCAGGATGGTCCAGATCCAACCACATCACAGGCCAGATCCAGCCTGTGGGCCTTGTTTTTGACACCCCTGGAGTATATCATATCGGTATAGATTGAAGCAAAAAATCAACTCTAGATATTTCCTGCCATTTTCATATACTTAAAGAATCAAATTGCCCTCCCTCCAATTAGTGCAGGTCACATTGTCCAATCAGAAGTTCCAATATTGTTTTAGCAACGGTCTGGGTCTTGCTAACCCATCTGGTCAAATGATTTTGGTTCTCAGGGGAGAACATCTTGTTATCTGGAACTGGCATCCCATAGGTGGTTCTCCCTGCCCCCCACCCCCAATGTCTCTGTGACAACTGAAAAGCAGCAACAGTTGCAATCAGCAAATTTTCACTTTGAAGTTGATAACTGTGCCACCATGGCAAATGGTGATCATATGACCCCAGGATGCTTCAACCATCAGAAATACATGCCAGTTGCCAAGCACCTGGATTGTGATAATGTGACTGTGGAGTTGTTTTTATAGTCTTAAGTGCAATGACTATTGATAAGTCTTTTTTTTAAAGTATCATTGTAACTTCAAACAATTGCTAAATGACTCGTTCTAAGTGGAGGACTATCTGTATGGCAAGATTTTGTTGGGTGTAGATGGAAAATACCACTTTCACACTAGAACAGAAAACCTCTAAGCCAGGCAACCTTGATTAAGGGCTGAGGGCGAGAGGAAAATTGTGTTATGTAAATAGGACCTTAAACAACAATTGGAATAGCACCTTCAAGTGGAAATTGAAGAATTGTGTCAGTGTACCCTTAAAAAAATCTTATGAAAAAACATGAATGATTATTTTGAAGGACAGCTGCTTAGATGTTAACCCATTTTTTTCCTTTAAAAATCCATGAATATTCCAAAATATTCTAAAGGAATCATACATCTGGAGAAATGTGGTCAAAGACCAAACTGCCCCCAAGTCCTTCAGAAGTAAAATATTGGAAATGCCAATTTTCCTGTGGAGTGCAGTACTGCAGGCTACTTCTGCTGACTGCCGGCTTACAATTTGGCAGTTCAAATCTCATCAGTCTCAAGGTTGACTCAGCCTTCCATCCTTCTGAGGTTGATAAAATGAGGACCCAGATTGTTGGGGGCAATAGGCTGATACTATAAACCACTTAGAGAGGACTGCAAAGCACTGTGAAGCAGTATATAAGTCTAGATGCTATTGCTGTTATACCTGGCAGCATTCTTTGCTACTGGCTATGCTGATTGGTGCTCCTACAAGCTGAGGTTTATCAACCTTATTGTCCATCTGCAATTTTTGACTGAAATATATTCATTCATCTGTACTTAATTGTTTAATTTGTCTCCCACTACAGCCACTGTTATGGGAAATACACAGTTCATTCCAAAAGATCCTGAAGATCAAGATCCTGCTACTAAAGGAACATATTCACAGGTAAATTTTAGAGTAAACATTTGTGTATATTAGCCTTACCCAATGTGCTTTTCTCTAGAGTGTTGTGGATTTCAGCTCCCAAAATTCCCAGACTTAGCCTTTGATTTCCAATATTTCTCAAAAGTACTTGGATAAGTTTGGCTGATACAATATTTAAATAGTATTAAAATATGCACAGTACTCTACATATCTTGACATACAAATAAAATGGATCTAACTCTTCCACTTCATAGCATGTATCTTTGGTGCTTTTATTGGCAGTTATTTGACCTTCATATAACCAGACATTGTCCATTATGTTGATACCTTTGACTCTTTCACACATTTCCCTGCATCTTGTAAGTCTTGGTTTTGGGGAAAACTGAAGGCTTTATATGTTTCCTAGCTTAACAACTGGTTTGGAAACTACAGGTTCATCCAAATTCTTTTTTTTTAACTTGAAAATTCAAAATGGTGACCTTCACTGCCATTCTTTTCAAGATACCATAGCAGATTATAGTGTATTTTTTCCTAGAAAAAAAGTTTCAGATTGATAAGTGGACTGCCTTTCTAGAGTTCACTCTATGTGAAATAGACAATATTCAAAAAGAGAGAGTAAAAGCTGGAACATGTAGATTAGAGTGGATTCATTCATTTTTCCTGAAATAGTCCCACAGAGACTCCATTATATGTAAACATGGCCCAATTTTGTTTCATCAAAACTTTTTGAAGGTTTGCTTCAAAGTTTCAAACACTCCTGAAGAGTATCTATCTATCTGTCTATTGGTCTATCTATGTATGCATAATCGATTGATCAATCGATCATCAGATCAATCATGCGTCATCTACCTATTGTCTGTCTGTTGTCTGTCTGTCTATCATTCCACACAGTCCTATTTTAACACAAAATCATTTTTATATTGCTGACTAGCTGATAACCCAGCATTGTCCGGGTATTTATTTATCCCAATCCTGTATTAGACATGAAAATCCTGAAGTCGAGATTCATGTTGTTGTACTGTCTCTTGCACAGTGTTGCAAGTGTTCTATTCCTCTCCTTGGGAGTTTCTTGTCTACTCTGGTGTTTCATTTTTTTTATTGTACTTGGCCAATCACCTGACATTTCCTTGGAGGGCTGAGAGGGAGCCCCCTTGTGCAATATTGTGAAGCCGTTACCATGGCAAGTCCACTGTACTGTACAGTAGAAGCCATTTTAAGGCACACATACCCCAAGGGATGTTAGGAGTTTCTTACCCCCACAGTATTTGTTTCCAAAGGATAATTCATCTGTGTACCAGGTTTGATTGAAATTGCTGGAGGCATTCCAGAGTTATGCTGGAACATACATACACACTCACACACACACACACATCCATATATATATATATATATATATATATATATATGGATCTTTGGTTGTATATATGATTTACAATGGGGATATTTTGCAAAAAAATATGTAGGAGATGAAAGAGTCACAGTGTATTCCTATACAAATCTGATCTGAAGTCAATCAAGCTGAATTTACTTCCAAAGCAAGAATGCTAAAAACACATTGTTTTGGAAAGATGAATCTAGAGAAGTGATCATTTCATAAATCTATAGTATTTTGCCTCCAATCAAACAAATCTGTTTCACTCAATTTTTTATCACAATTTTTTTTCAGACTTGGTTCAAACTGAACTTCTGTTGATTGCTATAGTGCAGGAATGTCAAACTCAAATTCATCGAGGGCCACATCAGAACCCTTGGGGGAGTGGGTGTTGTCAGGGTGCCTGTGGCTAACTCATTGAGGCTCTGTTTTCAGCTCTGCACGGGCTCCCTGGGCTGTTTTCACTGGCAGAGGATTGCAGGAGGCCATCGTGGCTGAAAACAGAGCCTGGAAGCTCCATTTTCACTGGCAGAGGCACCGTTGGCCAGTCCTTCATGGTTTCCAGGGTGAGCCCACAGGCACTCAACGGCTGGATCAGCCTGTGGGTCTTGAGTTTGACACCTCTGCTGTAGTCCATAAAACACTACAAACATTCAGGACAAATTAGTACCTCTGATGACCAAACTTTAATCTTATGCTGCAGATTTCCTCTGAACCTCCTGAAAGCCCTAGGAATGGATCTGTTATTATCCAACCAGTACAGACAGAGATTTCTGCAAACAGTGACACAGGTATGTCCTGGGTAGCATATCCATGGCTTATATCATTAGGACCAGACTATGGGAACTGAAAAGACAGTCAAATGGCATTTCTTCATTGGGTGAGTAGGAAATAGAGAAAGGCAGAGTGCATCATATAATCAAGGATAAGCTTTCCAATAAACCATAGCACCCATAGAATAACAATAGAGTTTTTCAGAATAGGCAGGGATTAATTTTCAGACCTTTCTTTTACATGTTAGGGTATTCTAAGCAACAAAATGGATGTCTTGGTCTTGAAGTAATTATGGCCCTTAAAATTGTGCCCCTTAAAAACTACCAGTTGTCCTCCAGTTATCAGGGTTCTGATGATTGCCCTAATTAAACATGAACTTTGAGCCAAGCTTCAAAAGAATCCAAAAGATTTATTAGGAGCAACATGTCGGCATTGACCCATATGAAGTCAACTCTGCCACACGTAATTTATGGTCACCTGTGACCTGTTTCCCCCCTCCTTCCTGGGTGTGTCATAAATCAGATTCTCCAATGAAATATGTTCACAGGCTGTGTGTCATCAATCACATTCTCCAATGAAGGATTTTCCTGGGCAGAAGATCCAGTAGCCTAGACTACAATCTTTGTAAGATAAGCGTGGAATATACTTCTGGTTTTAATTGCTGTACTGCTCCTTCAGGTTTTTCCCTCCTCCTGCTTATGGCAGTTTGAAAATAGGCACAGGAATGCTTTACAAGTTGACACCAATACCAATTCTTTTATCTCTTTGGGTGGAGTTGTATAGAAATAAAACAGGTAATCTAGCTCTTGACCACATTTAAGATATTCCTTATGCCCTGAGAACTTCCAAGGACCTCAAAACACAAAAATATTCTAGGGTGGAATTATTTACCCCTCTCTTCCTTGTGGTGTCCTAATGTCACAAACCATAACCTATATAATCTCTAGGACAGTCCTTGTCTTACAGTCATTCATTTATTGACCATTCAAAGTTACAACAGCACTGAAAAAGTGACTTATGACTATTTTTCACACTTATGACTGTTGCAATATCTCCATTGGTCACATGATCAAAACTTCAGCTGTTGTTAACTGGCATGTATTTGTGATGGTTGCAGTGTCCTGGGATCACACGATCCCCTTTGGTGACTTTCTGACAAGCAAAGTCAATCTAGATTCATTTAATAACCGTGTTATTAACAACTGCAGTGATTCACTTAACTGTGACAAAAAAGGTTGTAAACTGGGGCAAAATTCACTTAACAATTGTCTTGCTGAACAACAGAAATTTTGAGCTCAATTGTGGTCGCAGGGTGAGAACTATTTGTATTACAAATTCAACTCTATGGGCCAAAAAAGAAGAAGCTTGCCCTCTATTTCAAGAAAATAGATTCATCAGGTTGGTACCTCTGAAGCGGGACTACAGCTCCAATCTTCCCTTACCAATATTGCCAACAGATCTGGAAAGCACCAGACAGAGAGCTACTTATGCAGACAAAGAAGTCTGAGTCAGCATTTATTTCTGAAGTATAGAAAGCTTGCAGGTTTGACCCGTAAAATATTATAGGTGATGGTTGTTTTGCCAGGTTGTAAAAATCCATCAGCATGATAAATAATATATATTTTTATAGCTGACCCTTGTTAATGTAGGTGGGGTGAGCTTTTTACAGAATGTGAAGCTTAGGGGAAATCATGGAATCTTTGGAGGGTGTGATGGCTCAGCAGTTAAAAATGCTGAGCCTGTCAGCTGGAAAGCTGACAGTCTGGGTTCGAGACCCAAGGGCCACATGATGAGATGAGCTCCTGTTATTTACTCCAGCTCTTGTCCACCTAGCAGTTCGAAAGCATGCAAATGCAAGCAGATAAATAGGTAGCATTTTGGTGGAAGGGTAACAATGCTCCTTGTGCCTCAGTGTATGTTGGTCACATGACCATGGAAATGTCTTTGAACAATGGTGGCTCCTTTGGCTAAGAAACAGAGATGTACACTGCCCCCTAGTGTCAGAATCGAATGGATAGAGCAGGAGTGTCAAACTCAGGTCATCACAATACCATCATGTGACATATTGTGACTTTTTCCCCCTTCACTAAACCGGGTGTGGGCATGGCCAGCACGTGATGCATCCAGCCCATGGGCCAGCACTTTGACAGTCCTGGGATAGAGGAAACCCTCACCTTTAGCATCTAGATAGCAAAGTGGGGGGAAATTGTGATACATCAGATGATGACAATGTGTCATCGCAACTTTGACACCCCTGCCTTAGAGCAATAGGCTGCTCAGAGGGATTTGAGTACACTTCACATGAATGAGCTTCTTCTCTGTAAATTCTGAGCAATGTCTCACATTTGGCTAAGACATAGGGCTGATGAGCTTGGCAGCTGCCAGATCTCTGGTTTCTCAACAAGCTGTATTTTGATCTGTGCTCCCAAGTTGCATATGTCCAATGATCTCCAGGATGACATGGATCTCTTGGGAAATTCCCCATAATGTCCTCAATCTAATATTGTTCCAAATCGCTAAGCATTGTGAATTATTTAAAGAGCAGATGGCATCCTTTGATGTTGTGAAGAATGGAAGGCCAAGAAATCTTTTTCAGGTTGCAAATAAAGTAGTTATGGCCATCTTCACTAGACTCAGGGAAATGATTCTACTCACCAACACAAATTATTGCCACAAATAGCTCTTTCTGGAGTTATTTTACAAAGCCTACCACTGTTACAGTGCCCTGTAAGTCTTATAAATTCTTGCTCTTTTGTGTGTGTGTCCTGCATTATCACTTGTCTATTTTCTGTGTACAATAAAGGTGCAGTTTTGAGTACAAAAGGCTGATCAGTCAATAGCAAATTTACATTGTGGGTGTTAGCTTGAATTAATCAATAGTGTTTGACTCATATGGAGTTGGCTCACCTCTTTTCCACATGACATTGCAAGAAAGAGAAAAGATATATACCGTTGCAAAAATAGTTCTCATTCCCATCACCCCAGGGCAAGGTGAATCCTACAAACAAAGAATCATGGCTACTTTACGCCATAGTTTTTTTAAAAAAAAAAAAAACTTAGACTTTGTGACATTGTATTTTAACTGCTGGAGATGAAAAGAAAGGCTTGTGGGATAACTTACAACATGAGCCAGAACTAAGTTGATTGTCCTTGGTGATGATGATCCCTCACTTGTCTGGAGGTCTCATTTGTTGCTACCACACATCAAGAGGGAAAACTGAACTGCCCTTCTAATCTTTAATGTTGACTCCCATCTTGATAGATAATGAGCTTTATGCTGGTCTGCTCAACTTTGAATACATCAAGCTGAACCAGCCCTATCATATCTAGGAGATCCCTAATTTGCTGGCTCTTTCTTATCTGTTGGAGCTGTGAGAAAATGGTGAAACATGTCAAGTAATTGACAGACTCTGATAGGTGGCACGGCCTGAAGTTGCTTAACCTGCGTGCAACTGAACAGGCCATCACATGTCCAACAGTTTGCAGCTTCTCCAAAACTGTTAGCATGTTTACTGAACTGACTCCTGATTAAAAAGATAAACAGGAATTATTTTTCCCTTCCCAGTGCATATTAAATCCTCAGCATTTTTTTCAGATCTAGACTCTACTAAACAGCTTTTTTTTTTTAAGGAAAAGGGAAATAGATGGCTAAAAACTTAGACCTAAGAAGAAATTTCCCGACAGGTAGAACAATTAGTCAGTGAAACAACTAGCCTCCTGAAGTTGTGGATGCTCCAACACTGGAAGTTTTTAAGAAGAGGTTGGACAACCATTTGTCTGAAATGGTTTCCTGCCTGAGCAGGGGATTGGACTAGAAGACCTTCAAGGTTCCTTCTAACTCTGTTACTTTATATTCTGTATCATAAATAAAAACTTCAAATTTAGGAGTAAAATCATTTGAACATTTTCCTTCTTGCCCTTCTCTCTAAGTTGCACTAATTTGTTGACAAATTAAACAATCTGCCACAATTATTAATTAGTTTGTTTATCTTTAGTTTTTGATGCTTTAATAAATTGCTAAAATTGGCCCTCAGCCATAGAAAAGAAAGAAGTGTTTGACAGATACTGTAGAACAGGGGTGTCAAACTCACATCATTATGGTGGCATTGGGACTTTTTTCCCCTTCGCTAAACCAGGTGTGGGCATCACTAGTGTGTGACGCATCCAGCTGGTGGGCTAGGAGTTTGATAGCCCTGCTGTAGAAGATAGTCAAAGTCATGAAAGGAGGACTGGGAGTAACATGATAGCAGTATTCCAATATATATGGGGCTGCCACGAAGAAGAGTGGGGTCAACCTGTTCACCAAAGTGCCTGAAGGCAGGACAAGAAACAATGGATGGAAACTAATCAAAGAAAGAACCAATCTAGAACTAAGGAGAAATTTTCTAACAGAATAATTAATCAGTGGAACAACTTTCCTCCAGAATTTGTGAATGCTCCAACCCTAGAGGTTTTTAAGAAAAGATTGGACAATCATTTGTCTGGATTAGTATAGGATTTCCTGCTTGTGCAGGTTGAGAAGACCTCCAATATCTCTTCCAACTCTGTTATTATTGTATTATTCTGTTATTCTGCCCTGTTAATAATTTTATAACTTTCAGACCAAAATATAGCAATCTGATAAGGTCAGACTATATGAATTAGTGTTCCAACTCATCTTCAACCACACAAATCATTAGAAAGGGAGAGTTATTAATAGGTTTTTCAAAAGTTTCACCTGTCCTGGATAGGAATTTTTCACCTTTTATGGTGTGTTCAAGTTAGTCACTTTCTCCTCAAGCCTTTTTCCTGTTACAAGGACATATGTTTAAACCTCCAACAGGTGTACTCTGACATCTCTTCAAGCAGAACAAGCATTGTGCATAATTTGCAGATTACCATAAAGATTCCTTTACTGGCTGTGCTGTGTGGAATCAATTACAATCTCCCTGCCAAACTCCTCCGCACGGAGTTTTGCTCCCCTGTTTATTTGCTTTGAAAATGGAGACATTTTTATTCATCTGTGAAATCAGAAGCT